GGAGGATCTGTCATCCCTGCCTCCAGCCCCAGAACCCCCACTTCCATGCCAGGAGCCTGTGGATGTCACACACCTTGGCTACTGTGGCTTCCTTCAGGGTGACAAGGCCTGGCAGGCCCTGAAGGACATGGCAGGCACTCTGTTATTTGCCTGTTCTTAATCATGTCACCAGAGTCTAGGCCCTAAGATGCTTTACTCCTTAGACCCCACCCCCAACCCTGGAATTGACACTGTCCCCGCTGACAGCCTCAGTGGGTCATCTACTCCCTGGGATGTTTTTAGAGCTCCTTTGGCTACGTGTGATTGTCCACCAGTTCTTCTGAAGATTGTTCTAGATATTAGAACAGGAGGAATGGGGAGAAACATGGAGGGTGGAAGAGGGAGTAAAAATGGTGATGTGGGGCCCTTGGCCGGCGGCAGCCTGGTCATACTCTGTAAGGTCACACATAGGGACCTCTTCTTAAAGTGGGGCATGTTCCATGAGGACGTGTTTCAGGAACATGATTTGGAAAAGACTGCAGTCAGGATCCAGCACCTGTGTGGAAGGGCCATGTGTTAGCACCAGTTTCCTGTGGCCTGGTCCTGTAGTATCTTCAGGGAGGACTTGTCCCACTCCCCAGGTCTCCTCTTCCAGGGCCTTAGCTCACGGACCCCAGACACGGTCTGACGGCCAAACTCCGACACACGAAACTGGCAGCTCTTGGGGCATTCCTGGCAGTGTGACCCCAGGAAGCTTGCAGGGAGAGCCTCAAGCAGTGGTGACGCTTGCTGTCACCTAGGAATGCTTGCATTAAGAAAAAGTTGTTTTCGTATCAGTTAGAAATTGTTTCCAGTTTCTTTGTAATAAACATTCTTCTTCAACTCTCAGAATGAGTGTCTAAATGAATCTCACGTGTTACATTTTTAAATTTAAGGCAGCTGGTCAGACTCCTTTGGGTTCTGGGCCCACTGATGCTGAGGTTCCTGTGGGGTACCAATGAGGGTGTGGCCGGGAGGCGGCTAAATATCCTGGTCTGGGGCTCAGGAAAGAACCCCAGGCTGGGCACAGACGTGTGGTGGAAGCCATGGCAGTAAAGGTGGGCTCCCAGGGAGGAGTACGGACATAGAACAGGACAGACGACGACCGTGGACAGATTTAGGTGGAAGTGGGGGATAGTGCCGGAACAGAAGAAAGCAACCAGAAAATGAGACCGGGCATGGCGGTCGTGAGACAGTGAGAAGGCGGCCAGAGGATACAGTGCTGAAGGGCAGGGCCAGGGAGTGGGAAGGGGCGGGCAGCTGCCCAGCCAGGTGGCTGTCACCCGTGGAGGACGGAGCAGTGTCAGTGGAGAAGGGGGTGGGAAGGAGGTGGAGAAGGAAGCGGTACGGATTGCCCTTTCAGGAAATTCATTGGGAAGGAGAAGAAAGAGTAGGAGCCAAAGGAGCCCGGAGGCCTGGAAAAGATGTCTTTCATCATAAATGTCCTTGCTGTTATCATCCTCCTGTTACTGTTCTTCATGGAGAGGAAGGGGGTGAAGTGGGGAGAGAGGGCTTGAGGGCAAGGCTTCTGAGCAGGGGATGGGATGGGATCCGGTGCCCAGGAGGAGAGCAGGTCCCCTAGAGGAAAGGGTCTCTCTTCTAGCTGCAGCTGAGGAAGGGAGAGGACACAGGTGAATTTGCACATTTGGTAGCAGAGCGTTTTCTTCTCACAGCTTCTGTTTTGTCCCTGATGAAGCCCGGGAGCATCCGCATGAAAGAAGAGAGGCCCCCGGAGGAAGCTGGCAAAGGACGCACAGGCTCATACTCCTCTGCTTTCACATCCCGTTGACCTCGGCAGACAACTCAGAGCCGAGGACAGACTGGGCGAGATCAGGGCCCTGGGGAGGGGGCGTGTGGCAGCCCAGGGGCCGCTGAGGGGCTCACCAGGGCTGTGGGGCCACCAGCCTCATCCCAGCCCCTTGGCTCCTTCTAGAGCCAGCCCTGTCTCCTCTGGTCAATTTGAACTTAATTACACTCAGATCGGTTCCATAGCATAGGCCTTTTTCAGGCATTAGTGACTGGAAGAGTTTTATTCTATTACTTCACATTTTCCAAACCCACTTCACACAGATGGAATCTCTTGTAATCCTATAAGGCCAAACACAGAAGAGGAACAGGGCCAAGGAGGTTGGGTCCAGGACTTGTTTTAGTGCAGATAGAATGGTCTTATTTCTTTTGACATCCTGATAAATCTTTCTGCCCTGAATTTGGGAGTATGAGGAACGCTCATACTCCATTCACTCAACAAATGCTGCCTGCCGTCCGCTGGGGCCAGACCTGTGCCCTGCGTGTCACCTCCTCTGCCAGGCTTTCCCTCTTTCAGTCTCTGGCACCAGTCTGTGGAGTTGATTTCAGTGTCCCTGTTTGATCAGCGACGAAACCAGCACCCCCAGAGGTTAACTTGCCTGGAGTCACCTGGGAATTATGTGGCCGGGCTGGGATTCAGACCAGGGTGTTCTGGCTCTTAAGGCCTTTGCTCCATCCATTTCATCAAAGACCCCCTCAAACATAATGTTTTACTCTGTTGAGGCTTTAATTTTAAATGTTACGTGTCTCTCAGTGCAAAAGGTTCTTTAGGGAATTGTCAAAACCCAAGAAGTGTACAAGCAATTTATGAATCAGGGTCTTGGAAATGTTCTAATCAAATAAATGTAGGGCAGATGTATTAAGTTCTTGCTTTGGTTCCTGTGTGCATGACATCAGCAAAGTGAGAGAGAAACGGTAATAGATTTTATTAATAATTTATGATCCCAATGAGAGCATTGTGTGGGGGAAGGAAGGGCTGTTTGGAGCTCTCGCTGAGTCTGACAGCAGTGGGACCCTCGGGAGGGGAGGGGAGATAACCTTTCCTGAGGACTTGTTCTGTGCTGTGTGCTCTGAATGTCTTAATCTCATTTAATCCTCGTGTTGAGCTTCCTAGTTCTTACAGTGTCCTACCCATTTTAAGATGTGAAAATTGAGATTCTGAGAAGACAGTGTCTGAGAAGATCACGCAGCTGGTGTGTGGAGGCAGAGTCTGTCTAATTCTACGTAAGATTACAGACTCTTAATTAAGTGTGTACTTGTAATTAAAATGTGTGCATGTGTACCTACACATGCGTGTATAACTTTTGCTGTGTATTAAAGAATTTGGGGAAAAAAACAAAAGGAGCAACTATCAGCCAGAAACTGGGCAACAACCATGCCCTGGTCCTTGATTGCCAGGTTAATGAATTCTCTTTTCGATCTTACTGTAGCCTCTACCTTCCCAGGACTGGTTTTGGGATCCACAAGGAAGGCTGCTCTTGTTCTCATAGTTTAACTTGGAAAGGGCATCGATACCCATTTACAGAAGCAATTGAGTGTATGTTCTAAAGGGGAGAGAGAAGTCAGTGTAACTGAGGCGGGTCGAATACACATTTTCAGAACAGGAAGAATCATGGTAAACAGGTAAATCCTACATCTCAAAGAGGGTCACGCTTACATTCGAAAAGAAATAAGGTCAGGGTATTCCTTCGAGAGGAAAAATCCTGAGCCCTTCCTCTTTGCTAACCGAAGATGGTGAGAGTGGCGTGAGATGACAGGAGGCATGATGAGGCCAGCACCTGACTGCCACATGGGGGCTCTTGCTGAATGGCAGCCCTAGTTGGCATCCTTGTCATTGCTGTTACTTAGGGTCTTACACTGAGGGTGTGAAGGACTTGGCAGGATCCGGGATGGCCGTGTCTTCCATGTGGGTGGCTAGGAGGAGGATGGGCATTTGCAGAAAGGAGGCAGTCACGGGAGAAGCCGCCTGCATAGCCTTGGCTTCGTGGCCAAGAGATCCCAGGTCCAGGCCATGGGATCTTGTGTCCGGAACTGTCCACTGCCTCCAGCCAGCCTTCGCACCGCCTGTTTGAGGCTTATAGTTGGGTCCCGAGAAGCATTTGAAGGGCACCGTGCTTTGGGCACAGCTGCTCAGCCCTCAGGTTTTATCTCTGGCCATTCCCACTGCCCTCCCAGACTTGCTAGTAGACCCCCATTCCAGCTGGTGGGCAGCTGGCTCTCACTAACGATCTTACTAAAGTTCCAGGTGTGTGGCAAAAAAGTGCTGTTAATAATAGCAAGGCCTGATATGAATTAAAAAGGAGGGCTTATAACTCAGAGGTGGAGAGCTTTAATCTGCCTCCTTTCTTCCATTCTTTGCCAGGGCCCCCAAGCCACAAGCTGAACATGCTGGGCGTTGGGTAATGGGTTTTCCCTGGTTCCCTTATGTACCCCAAGTCGTCCTGGTGAAGTGCTCCTGTTAGCTCCCTTGGGTAGGAACCAGCCTCACTAATAGGTAAAACTTAGGTAATTTGGTGATTCAGATTGTAATGTTAAACCTGCTAGAAAGAAGAGACAAGCCCCTGAAGATGTCAAAGGCAGCCTCTCCTTCTGGTCCCATGTTGGTTGTACAAGATATAGGAAGGGCTGACTTTGGGAAGGGGTGTGAGGTAGTTCCAGAAGCTTCTCTGACTGCAGTGGGTTTGGGCCAGGACATTTTCTGATTCTAGGAATGGAGGCTGTCACATGGCCGATGAGCTCTGAGATCCGTTAGCCATATTTTAATTTTAAGTTCTAAGTTCACTGGGCGGATCCTGCTAGCTAACACATTATGCCCTCTCTCAGACAGTTTGCTTTCAGAAGGGAGTTCTGGTACCAGGGGAGCTGGCAGGGAGGCAGTTTGCCATTAAGGATATTTTGGCACAGAAGTCCTGAGAAATGTGGCTGGGGTTATGGAGAAAACTATCCAACTTCCCATCCTCACCTGGGGAGTGGGGTTCCCAGGCTACACCTCCATCTCCAGATCCAGCCCTTCTCTCCAAAGGAGGAGGAGAACCTCACCCATCCCGGTGAAGAAAAGGATGGCCAGAGCTTCGGCCCTTCCCCACGTCCGTGTCCACATTCCAGTTAGATGTCCTGCTGTGTTTTGCATCCCGATTAGAAAGAATCACTGCTGAAATTGACTCTGTGCTTCCTAGGAACTTGCCAGCTGTGGATGGAGTAAGAAGGAGAAACATAGTCTCGCCCCCAACGTCGTGGCCTTTACCCGGAGGTTTAATCAGGTGAGCAGTACCCCTTGCATGTGCCTGAGCAGGTAGCACAGGTGTCCCCTGTGGACTGGGCACCCTGCCAGGGTTCAGTCACGGGCACCTGGCACAGGTCCAAACCCTTCTTCCCAAACCACTCTGCCCATCAGTCCTTTTTGCCTGCACAGTCCTTTTTCACAGCAGGTGGAACTGAAACCATCTTTCGAGGGTTTGAATCTCTTCATTGGCTTCCAGTTCCATCCAAGCTGAGGCTCCAGCACCTTAATTGCCCTGCAGGGTCCTGCACAGTCACAGTGGGTCAGGTTTTCATCCGCCCCTCTCGCGCCATCCCTTGTCCCTTCCCCTATCCCATCCTGGCCGGCCTTCCTTCTCTTCCCTGATGCACCGTATCTCTGTCCCATCAGGCCCCCAAATGTGCCATCTTCTTAGCTCAGAATTCTTCCTCCCTGTTCAGCTCCCGGTCTGATCAGCCTGAACGTCACTTCTGCGGGGAGCTTTCTGGGAATCCCCAGCCTGTGTGAGGTCTTTGCTGTCACACGTTCTCTCACTGAACCCTGTGCTTCTGTCTCCGTGTGGCCCTTTGCTCATCTCTGCTCACTCGGTGGAGCTCTTTCTCCTCCCCCTTTTATGCCAGTCTCTGGGCTCTGTCTTGTTTACCACTGTGCCTCCCGCCACCTTGCCTAATGTCCAGGGTAAAAGAGACCCTCAGTAAATGCTTGTGAAATGAATCAATGAGATGCTCAGAAAACACTTGTTGAATTGAATTTCTTTGAGTGCCTCATAGCCAGGCCACTGGCCTCACACATCCCACTGCAAACTGACTTGTTCCAACCAGAGCCTTTGCTCCAGGTATGAAGATCCGCACCCCCTCTTAAGGGAAGGATGATGGGGGCTTGGGCCAACTAAGGGTAGTGGACTTCTGGCTTCTTAGCCAATCTGCCAGAATGTGATCTTTGCTAGTAAGCTACCTGTAAGACCCCTTTTGGGTGGGCCAACCCCCAAATGGTGCTATTGACAGCTTTTCATCTTTCTTGTTTTTTTCTGGTTTCAAATGAGGGCAGTGGATTCAAGATTGTGTAGTGTGCGTGACTAGACCTTGGGGTGATGGGCCTAGGTTCCCTTTGGGCCCTCCCTGAAGCTGGGCCTCCCTGCTCAGAAATGCCGGGCCCTGTGCATCACCACTGCCCAGCCCTCTCCAGGCTTCCCCAGCCTCGGCTGCTACCCAAGGATGAGGGAGCCTCAAAGAGGCAACAGCTTTTCATCTGAAGATTGACACTGGAGTTAACATTATTGTTGTTACAACAGGAGCTAGGAAGGGTCTAGTTGCGTTGGGAGTAGGGGCTGTATGTACTTGTTAGTTTTGAAAAGAGAAGTTCTGAAGCCTTTTGTTTCTTTTTTCTTTCTTTTCAAAATCTCCCTTTTCAACCAAGCTTAGGCTTTAAAAAATAAAACAGATGTGCACACGCTATCAGAGGATTCAGAGTTTCCTTCACAAAACTATTTGACTGGGAGCCAGCTCAGTCCCACCTCTGACCAGCCGCAGAGCTCCCGGAGGAGGGCTGCTGGGGGCTCTGATGTAATCTGCCTTGCTCGCGGAGGCCAGGTCAGCTTGGCAGGGGTGGGGCAGCTCGTTCTGCGCATGACTGCCTTGTGTCCAGATCATACCAAGTGGGTGAAGTGAGCCAGAAGTGCAGTCGCGCTTTCCCAAACAGAATGCTTTGAGAAATGGTCTTGCTGCCAGCCTGTCAGCTACTCCGAGTGAGCAGCTCCTGGACACGGCCCTTGTAGCTCTCTTTTGGAAACTGGCCAGCAACCAGCCCTGGTCAGCCACTGGGGCTGCTTTCTCTGAGATGAACTGATTGGCATCCCTTCCTGGCAGACTTTTATATGTGAGAACAAGGCTCCCCATCAGACTGTAGATAAGGAAAACAGGTCACTTACCTTTCTCGAGCCTCAGTTTCCTTATCTGTAAGTGAGAATAATAATATGACTCACCTTGCAGAGTTGGTGTGGAGATTAAGTGGAATGGTATATGAAGAACTCTTAGTGCAGTGTCTGGCATGTAGTAAACATTCAACGTTTTGGGGGAAAATAAGAGGGAACGTGAAGATCAACTGATTGGAAAGAGGTTGCCCGCAGAGTTGAGGCTTCTTGTGGCCAAGCCAGAAACCCAGTAGCCAAGGTCCTGGTCAGACTCGGTGGACTTGCCTGCCTCTCTGTGGGATCTGAGTCCCCTGGGATTTGTTCATCTTGCTCCTAGAGGGATGGAAAGACCCAGACAAGTTCACTGAGCATGTGTTATGGGCCAGTCTTGTATCTCAGCACCAAGGAGTTCACTGTAGAGCTCAGAAATGCTCAGCCTTTTTTGGATTATGTCTTCTTTTGAGAATTTGACTATATATATGTATATGTGAACTTGTCCCAATGGGGACATTTTACAAAATGGTACTGGAACAATTGGAACATTTTTTATGTATGTAAAAAAAAGTGGACCTAGACATAGACAATAGGTCTTTCCTAAAAATTAACTCGTATTTGCCTGTGCAAAGAGAGGAGAAGGACAGTATTTGGCAACGATGAACGAATTTGCTAGGAACACGTGCGTGTGTGTGTGCACACGTACATGTGCACGTGCACGCATGTGTGTGTAGACATAAGATTTCAAAGAAGCTGGATATATATCTAGGAGTGCAAGTGCTGGACTGTGCCATTTTGTATTCCTGCCGGTAATGGAATGAGAGTGTGTGTTGCTCCAGGTACTGGCCAGCAACTGGCACCTTCACTGACTGTTTCATTTTAGCCGTTCTAACACACACACAGAGTTCCGCCTTTCCCCTGTGACAAATGATGTTGAGCATCTTTTCATCTTTATTGCTATTTGTACTTCCTTGGTCAGGTGTCCAGATCTTTGGCCCATTTTTTAGTTGGGTTGTTTTCTTACTGTTGAGTTTTAAGTGTCTATTTTGAATATAATGCTTACATCAAATATGTGTTTTGCAAGTATTTCCCCAGGCTGTGCTTCATCTTTTAATTTCCTTACCAGCATCTTTTGCACTATAGAAATGTCTAATTGTAATGAAGCCCAACTTATCAGGTTTTTTTTTCATGGATTGAGTTTTTGGTGTTATATCGTCTGGCCTTCGGTGCCCTTCCTAGCTTTGATTTCCCCCTCTACCCTGACCCCACAGAGCATCTACAACACCAGACCAGTCGGTCCACTCAGCCCTCCCTGGTCGTGGTGTATACAGCCATACCCCAATCCTATCTTTACCTGCTCGAAGTCCACCCATCTTTCAAGGCCTGCCTCTTCCAGCAGACCTTCCTCTACCATTAACTCTCCTGTGTTCCATTCTGCTTCGGTTGAACAACTTCTGCGTCCAGGATTGCCATGGGATTTCGGGAGGATCCTGCTTCCTCTGGTCACCCCTGTATCAGGCAAGGGCCAAGTGTCTGGACTCACGGTGCCTAGAGCCTGTACACAGAACAGGCTTCACAAAAGTCTGTTGAATTGACCTGGAGTTGCCTCTGCACCCGTGTGCTGCAGATCAGTGTCGACCCTGTCGTGTGCCATAATTATGCCTTAAATGTGTGTGATTTTTTGGCGTGCAGGCATCTATTAAATTATACATATAAACGATCACACTTGAGTTTATGTGGCATAAAAATGTGCATGTATTAAAATATAAGGTTTATGGACATATCATTTGATGTCCAGAAAATCTTTCTTCCATAACTGGCTAGTAAACATTTGAGTCTGAACTTAATTTTAGGCAATTCCTTGGAAAAAATGATTCTATGGAAACCCAGGCATGTCCTGGAGGCAACCACAGATAATTACGCGGAAAAAGCTTTTCTGTAATATTCCTGCTTAACATAAAAAGCAAATTTTTGATTCTTGGTTATTCTTGTTTTCTCATTGAAAAGTGACTATTTCAGGAAAGAGAAAAAAATCTAGTTGCCGCAGTAAAGGTGCTTTGTTAACTCTGGACTATCTTTATTTTAATTTATAAAATTCAGAGGTTTTAGATGCCTTTGCCTTCCTTTCAACTCCACACCTCCCTGTACTCGGCTCAGCTCTCTCTCTCTCTTGGCTGTGCTGTCATCCCACCCTTGGGCATCCATGGGTCACACAGCATTGTTGTTACTTACAGTAGCGAGACATAAACAAGAAAGTAACCACTTCCCAGACTTTCTTGGCACGGAGCCCCTTCTGTGTTGTACTGAGGTGTCATGTGAGTCCACTATACCCTGGGAGACAACTTGCTTGTTCCCGAAAGGATTCAGGGGCTTGGGGATGTTGATTTCTGTGAGAGGTCAAGCATGAATAATGTTCTTTTCTTTTTTCTTTTTTTGAAGCATGAATAATGTTCTGAAACCAAAGTACCGTCATGTCCTTTTGGCATCAGTGGTCTCCAGAAAAACATGTCCCTTCACAAGCCTTGCTTTATGGGACTTTGAAAGACACCTGCATATCGTTTAACTTATTGGGTGAACCTCTCCTAGAAAATTAAATTTGTTATGATTGTGCAAATTTTGGTGAATCCTACTCAGTTGAGGTCTGGCTGGGGATATAGATCTCACAGTGGTACAGCCAGTGAACATATGTGTTTGTCTGGCCATTTGTCGATCCATCCATCCAACACCCCAGCCATGGTTTTCCCACAACTGACTGCCTTCTGAGCAGGAATCTGTCTGAATCATCTCAAAATTTCCTGCCACAGCTTCAGAGAGTTTCATATGCTGTGGAGGCCCAGTAATTCCCCCGGGTGATGAGGAAAGTACTTGTCTCTCGGCATCACCGTGTGTGTTCGAGAGGGGGTGCTGAAGGAGGGACCCACCTGCAGGGCTGGGTGTCATAAAGGACCCCCTCAGCCACCTGCAACCCCGGGCCTGTGCTCCTCCAGCTTCCTGACCCCCCGCGGTGGGCGAGGGTAACGAGGGTGGTCCAGGGCTTAACCATTTCTCTGGTGTGTGTGTGTGTGTGTGTATTTGACTCTACAGGTCAGTTTTTGGGTTGTTCGAGAAATTCTAACAGCACAGACTTTAAAAATAAGGGCAGAAATCCTGAGCCATTTTGTGAAAATAGCCAAGGTAAGCTCTTTTGTTATTATGTTTTCCTCTCTCCCTCCCTCCCTTCCTTCCATCCTTCTTGCAGAATGTGTTTCCTCAGTACTTTGAGAGCTGCCTTGCTCTGGGTGTGCTGGACTGGGTTCAAACAGAAGCTGTGACCTGACTTCTCTAGGCTGTAAGACTGGCCTATGTGCCCGCTCGGCATCCCCGCCCCCCCTGCACGCATGGTGGGGTGGCCCTCTACGCGTTATGATGGCAGTCAACCGTTCTCCTTAGCTGGCTGTTCAGACTCTCTGTGAGACCCTGGGGGTTCCCTCTGGGGTCCATTCCTCCTCCTGTTTCAGACTCAGCTAGTCCTGGGCCCTGCCAGGCTCTCTGGTACCATCACCTCCTGCATTCTTGTCCACGATCCGCAGAGCTCACCCCACCGCTATCCTGAGCTTAAGGCCTAGGCCCCCACTCCCCACTCCCACCCCCTGCCCTGATAGGTTCTGTCCTTACCAGCTGTTGAGCTCCGGGCTTAGGTCTGTACCCTGCCTTTCCCCTCCTCTTCCCTGATGCCGGCCACTGTCATCACTCCGCCAGCTCCTCCCCTTACGCTGCTGCGGACCACAGGGCGTGCCTGCACCTGGGCGGCACACTGCCGTTCTGTCTGGTTCCCCGTGTGCCGTGTGCACGTGCTGTGTTCCCACCCAGGCCCTGGGCCCGCTGACCTGTACTGATGTCCTTACGAGTCCGGCATCACAGCAGCCGCTCTACTGAACCGATTGTGTTCGATGTTTGCATTGTTATTCTCCCACTTCTAGAGGAGGAAGAGGGCTTTAGAGAGGTGAGCGGCCATGCCCAGGGCCTTGTAGCGAGTGAGCTACAGCATGTCTCTTTGCCTTTAGGGGAGCTGCTTTGCTGCCCTCATGGGAAGGTTAAGGGCTTCCATCCAGAAGTTTGTCAGGGGCAGCAGATAACTTTCACGCCGTGTGCATTCGGAAGTGCTCGGGACCGTGCTGGGGCTGGGCTTAATGACGCTTATTACTGTCAGGGCGTTCATGCTGGGCCATGAGAGAAAGCGGGGTGATGTTCTGGGCCGCTGGTGCTTTCTGGAACGGAGTTCGTGGTACCTGTCCAAGGAATCCAAGCCGGTCCCACCTTAACCTCTGCCATCTTCCAGCGCTGGCTCATCACGCTGGCACTGTGCCCCGAGCCTGTTCTTGTGCAGATCCCTCCTTCCTCGGGGCCTTGGTTTCCCCTCTGCAAAATGAAACGGCTGGATTAGAGGGTTTCCCAGAGGACCTTCAGCTCAGAAAGAAATTGTGTGACAGGCATAGCCTTTCAGATACACAGGATGAAATTCAGTCCTCTCAGAGAATCTGTTATTACACACAGGAAACAATTAGAGATTGTTACAAGATGTATGAAAGGAAGTATTAACTTGTGTGGTAAAGGAGAGATCTGAGGAGGAACAGAGCCGCAAGGACTAGACATAAGGGCTTTTTATTATTCATTCGTTCACTAGGCCCTACTGTGCACCATATGCAGCACTAGGGATATGACAGCAGGTACAGGGGAACACCTGGTCCAGGGTGAGAGAGAAGCAGGTCAAAGTGACTACAGGCCAGTGTGCTAAGGAGATGCACAGACTGCTGTGGGAACACGTAGGCAGGGGCCCTGAGCTCCCTAGATTTGGGAACAGGGTCAGGAGAGTCATACTAGAGGAAAGGCATCTGCGCTTGGTAGTACCCAAGACAAGTGAGGGGGCAGGCAGGGGGGAGTCTTACCCACAGGCACAGAGCACTCCCCCAGAGCCAGGGGCTGCTCTGGCACTTGGCACACACCATCCCAGGTAGCATATGTGCCTTGGTTACCTTCCTTGTAGGTGCCGGCATGTCAAGGCTCAGCAGCTCGCTGCGACACACGGGGATTGGGAGCTGGGATTGGAACCAGGTCTCTTGGCTCCGTGGAGCCTGCTCTCTGGCCCAAACTTCACCGGCTCCCAAGAATGAGAAGGGGACCCCAGTCCCGTTAGCAGGTTTCCCTCAGTGCCAAACTAGAACGTCTTTCTGTACTTCCTCTCGGCCGTGTCCCCTGCTCTTCTCTTCCATGGTCAGGAGCTCGTGTGTGAGACTGAATTGAATCCAAATGTTCTCACCAGCATGGGGTCTGGCTCAAAGGAGCACAGTCAAGTGACTGAGAAGCCAGAGCTCTGTCTTCCTAATGGAGGGGGTGGGGGCCATGCAGATTGGTGACATTTTTCCTCGGGCCCTCTTGTTCCTGGTGTAAGGTAGTCACAGACGACCCACGTGGATATTGCTGGCACAGCCGAGACTTCAGTTTATAAAAGCCTTTTGGGACAGTTCCGATTCATCTAAAAAAAGAACATAAAGGACATTATCAAACCTTATCCCGAGCCACGTTTCTATCCAGCAGCCAGACTAGTCAGCTTATAAAATTTTGCAAGTGTTTTAGATGCAAACTCACCTTTTGACAACTTGAGAAAAAAAGCATATGGTTTCTATGAACTCCATAGAACTATATTTTCTACATGAGATATTTTTAAGTATAATCGAATTTCATAAATATGACAACATTTGGTAACACTTGAGCATGTTTTTGTTCTGTTGTTTATAGCAGCAAAATAATCTATTCCATATCTTTTTTTCAGAAACTTCTAGAACTCAACAACCTTCATTCTCTCATGTCTGTGGTATCAGCATTACAAAGTGCACCCATCTTCAGGCTGACAAAAACCTGGGCTGTAAGTTAATGCCTTTGATTTTGACTCTCATTTCACTGGTGAAGTTCTTTATTCCTTGAGCCCCCGAAGGCTTTCTCTGACTGTCTGCCCTTTGCTGGTCACAGAGGATTACCGTGGGATCCCTGGGCCTCCTGTCTCCTTCAGGGACCTCAGCCCCATTTTGGGATGAGGAAGTTAGGAGGATGCCAGCATGGCTGGGGCCAGAGCCCCCTCGAGTGGACCTTCCTGGACATATAACATCACATGTAGTGGCTGGGTCAATGACATGACTTCTGCCCTCCACTTGGCTGGTATTCTTCTCTGACAGGCTCCAAACTGCCCTTGGGAAGGTCTCTGGGCTGATGGTTCGCAGCTGCCCTGCGTTGCTGGCCATATAGCTACGAGGCTCTCTGGAGAAACCTGTGGCCCTCCTGTAGAGAAAAGTGGGGTTTTGTTTTGTTTTTATTCCTGAAGGCTGTGGATAATTTCAGCTTAGAGGTGGAGTCTGATAGTTATATAATTGAGTCTGTAGGAAAGTTTTTCTGCTGTAAAAATACTTTAAAAATATCTCAGCTCTCTTTATCCTCCTTAGCTTGGCACAGTGCCTGACATGGGGGAAGTAATTGCTGTTTCCATAGCTCATTAGCATTCACCTCCTGGCCCGCCTGGCCCGGGGTCTCCCACAGCCACACAGCCCAAGCCTTTCAAGACCTGTTTATGTCCCACAGAACTGAAGGGAACTATATGGAATTGTCAGCTGTGCTTCTGCAACTCATTTCCGAACTTCTTTCTGCCAGTCTGCGGGGCTGGGCTCGGATTCATACTTGGCTAATTCAGGGGCCTTTAAAACACTTAGGGATTATGTTGTAGGTGATCAGAAATGAGCTTGTTTTTTTAAATTGCTATTTTCCATAGACTTAGCTCTAGCAAAGTGGAGCGAAACGTCTTAGCCTGGAGTTAGACACCGGGGGTGCGTTCAGCCGCTGTTCAGAGCGTGACTTCTGTGGGACTTGTTTCCCTCTGTGCACTCAGAGGTTGGCCTAGAGGAGTGGTTTTATGTCAGTGCTTTGTGGAGCCCCAAGGGTTCTGTGGAGCTGCCTTGAGGGCCATCAGGGGCTGGGGAAGAGGAGGCTGTTTCCACCAGATCAGCTCTGTGTGCCTCGGTTTGACGGGCCAGACTCCCGGGTGGATTTCAGTTCAGCAGTGGCTTGCGAGGTTGAAAGCAAGTTTGGAAGCTGCCGGTCTCTCCTCTTGTTGCCAGGCCTGTGAGTCCCTGCGTCCGTCTGAGCCATGAGGCTTTTTTTCAAAAGTTGCCTAGAGAGTCTTTTTCAAATGAATTTTCCATTATTTAGATGCCCTTATTGTTTCTTGAGCTACTGGGAGCTGCGTGTGGACTCAAATGAATTATGAATCTCAGCGTGCACAAACCTCGCCGTCAGCAACGTGACGACCCTCCGTGACCCACAGAAGCGTATAGTTGGTGAGGGCAGAAAGGGAGTCTTGCAGGCCACCTCTTGCCCAACCTGTCCCATTGGCCTGAGGACAGTGGTTGGCACAGAGCATTTGGGAAATGGAGGGGGCCCTGTTCACCCTTTATCACCTTCATCCTGATCGCTGCAGCCCAGTGGACAGAGGCGGCTGCGTCTCCTCCCGACACTCTCCCCGTGCCTGTTGTTACGAGCCCCCAGCACTTCTACTCTGTGGTTCTATCCCCCGGTCTTCCTCTTGCTGCAACTGCCTTCTTTCGTGATGAGGTCTGATTTTCCTTTGAATCCCTGGTGCCCAGCTGAGTATTTGCTTGTTGTTTGCGTTGTCTACGTCTGGGGCGCTTCATCTTCTCCTTCATTTGCCATTATTTCTGGTATTGAGATCAGCCATCGAAGTATTGCCAGAAAAGAGCTGTTTCCCCTCTCCTCACTTTTCCCTTGACCTTGTATTGGGGAGACCTCAGGGGCCCACAGAGCAGGGAGGAGCAGGAACACAGGAGACACTGCCATCGCAGCCCAGAGCGTTAGTGCTCTTATAGTCTTCATTTAAAAAAAATTATTTATTTATTTTAGAGAGAGAAAGGAGGAGATGGGCAGGGCAGAGGGAGAAGGAGAGAGAAACCCAAGCAGACTCCACGCTGAGTGCAGAGCCTGACATGGGGCTTGGTCTCGTGACCCTGAGATCAACCTGAGCCCGAAACCGCAAGAGTCACACGTTTTAACTGACGGTGCCATCCTGGTGCCCCTCGAGTCTTCATTTTTTAGAGAGGGAAGCTGAGGCTCTAGGAGGTGCGGTGGCCTGACAGAGGTCCCAGGACTGGTGAGTGCCAGAGCTGGTGTGATGGCACCGTGCCTTGCCAGTGGGCAGAGTCCATGCTCTTGGCCAGTGCGCTGGATGGCTTGTCGGTGGTAGAGCCTGATCTTGGAATCAGGCGGGGCCCAGAGCAGGGAGAAAGAAGCACACACATTGGGAAATGGGGCTGGCACTCGGGCCCTCGGGGGCAGCGTGTGACTAACGCCCCGAGTGCTGTCCCTGGGGTGGTTGAAGCCCTGGAAATCTGGAAAACCTGGACATAAGGGAGTTCTGGGTGTGGGCAGACACCCGCCCCTTGGTTGCACCATGGACGACCTGAGTGAGGGCCAGTTGGTCCTTAGCTGTAGGCAGGGCAGCCCATTGACCTGTCCGTGGCTGGCTGCAGGGTGCCCACAGCTGAGGGACCAGGGATGGGTCGGAGACTGACACTGAGCACAGGCTCCCACACAGTAGGCCCTAATAAATGCTGGCTCATGTGTAAACAGGGAGGGAGTCACCTTCTGCTGGCCCAGAGAAACACAGTTAGGGTCTGATTCATCCCAGCACTGGGGCCTCTCCGGAGTACTGGCTGCCTCAAGGCCACGCGACGTGAGCAAGACAGAAACGGTCAGTTCTGGTTTCCTGAGTACATGCTACCGTGCGGCTCTTACTCATTCTACAAATCAAATATTTACTGAATGCTTCCTCCATGCCAGGCCTCAAGGCTATGGTTAAGGGCCCCATCTTTATGGGCTTTTGGGGTGTTCAGAGGAGACAGACACATTATTGAGGGAAGATAAACACGTGTCCCATCTTGCTGGTGTAAGAAGTGACGGATAAACATTTGTTGAGTGTGTGAGGCAGTGAGCAAAGAGCTGTCCAATGGGAGTAGGAGTGACACAGGCGGGTGTGAGAGAGAGCGACTGGGGTGTGCTGGAGCCTGGGGCATCAGGGAAGGCCTTTCCAAGAAGTAAGGCCGCGCTAAATTGGGCCTGAGTGACACGGAGCCGGCCATGCCAGGATAGGGTTACAGCCAGTGCGAAGACCCACAGCGGGAAGACACGTGGTGCCATCAGGAAACTCAGAGCTGGTGTGGCAGGGGCACCGTGGGCCAGGAGATTGATGCAAGACGCCGCGGGTGGGCTGTGGCCCATCGCAAGGGGCTTGCAGCTCAGCACAGGAGATAGGTTCTGTTTTGAGTGCAGGGAGCCGGACGTGATCTGGCTTACAGCTGCTTTTCATTTTTTGTCTTTTAAATTACTGTTGCTACTGTGTGGAAAACAAACTGGGCGGGGAGTGCAGGGGCCAAGATGGGAAACGGGGCCTGGTCAGGAGGTCGGGCAGCATCCAGGAGCGAGCTGGTGTGGCTTGGGCTGGTGAGGGGTAGGACACAGGAGAGGAGGAGACGGACGGGGGAGGCATTCTGAAGGCAGACCTGGTGGGTTTGTGTGGTGGGCTGTTGGAGAGGAGGGAAGAAAAGGAATGGAGAGGATTTCTAGGCTTGGGGCCTGAGCAACTAGGACAATGGTGAAACCTTTTCTCTGGTCAGAGTGGTCCCAGGAGGAGGCTGACTTACTCATGAGTCACCGGGGGGTAGAGAATTCCTGGAGTCTGGGTGGGTCACTCTTTACAGTGATCATAGTCGTGTGCTACACACACACACACACACACACACACACACTCTCTGCTGGCTCTGCATGTTCCTGTCATGATTTGCTCTTTGCTACTGAATCGATTGAGGCAGTTTGCCTCATCTGCCGCAGCAAGGGGAAACCCGGCAGTGGGTCAGGAGGCCTGGTCTGCACACCTGGAAAGGAAGCCTCTTGGGAGGGGGCTCCCACGGCACATACCTGGGGGAACGGGGTCCTCAAGCTCTGCAGTCTGGAGCACAGCCACTCTACAAATGTCCTGAGAAGGCACATTTGTGGCATGTACCTATTTTGGACTTTCGAGTCTTTTGTTCAGGAAGTGCCTCTATTCCCCGTGTCTGATGTCGTGCCCCAGGGAACCCCCTCTGATGCTGCTGAGAAGGTGGCGATAGGCATGGGCCCCCTCTTTCAGGCTTTCCTGAGCCTTGGCTCAGGTGGGAGGCAAGATGGCTGAGGGGGTGAGGAGATGGAGGGCAGAGGAAACCAACGTTTGTGCCTCCAGTGACTTGCTCCCCTGTCCTTCCTCATAGCCGTGCCTACATTGCTTCTCAGAAAGTCCCGGTCATGAACTCTGCTGACATTGTCACCCTCCTCTTCCTTTCATTGCCGCAGCAGTGGACACTTCCATCACCCCCTTCTCAAAAGCTCTCCTGCCCTTGGCCTAGTCCTCTTCTTGCTGTTCGGACAGCGGGCTCCTCCCTGACTACTTTCGTTCCTCCCGCCCCCTGGATGTAAGTGTTCTGTGAGGCTCTGACCCCAAATCCTGCCCTCTCATCCGCTTCTCATCCCTGGGGGCCCCGACGGCACGGCATGGAGAGCTTCACCAGCACTTCCGTGCCCAGCGGAGGCTGCTCCGCTCACGCTCAGCCTCTTTCTGCAGCCCTGGACCCGCGTTCCCACGCCTGCTCCGCACAGCCCTCTGCTTGCATGTTCCTTTGACAGCTCACGCTTGGCATGTCTGAAATCAAGCTTTGGTTTCCAGGAAGTGATCGTGAGTGCCAGAAGACGCTCCTAGCAGATTGTGTTTTGGACTTTGAGGCAATATGGTAGACGGAGCTGATGGGGAATAAGCCCCTCCCTGCCCCGATCACA